TATATTCTAGTCCTTAAGTTTTAAGGAGAAATTTGTCGCTCAAAAAAAGTGACTTTTCATACCGATGCTGCCCAAGCTATTGGAAAGATACCAATCGACGTGAATGACCTGAAAGTTGACGTCATGTCCATTTCAGGGCACAAGATTTATGGTCCGAAAGGTATTTGTTTATCCAGTTTCTGCAGTTCATTCTTTACTCTATATGAAAATTCTGAAATAGGTGTTGGTGCCATTTATGTACGCCGTCGACCGCGTGTTCGACTTGAAGCACAAATGAATGGAGGAGGGCAAGAGCGTGGTATTCGCTCCGGAACTTTACCACCTCCACTATGTGTCGGGCTGGGAGAAGCTTGCCGAATTGCAGAAGAAGAAATGGGTACATTTTACGTTGCTGTATAACAGAGATGTTTTAGTGTTATTCACAAAGTTATTGCATTTAGAAATGGATGCAGCTCACATTAAACGTTTGTCGAAAATGCTTATTGATGGCATACAATCAAAATGCAGCGATATCATCCGCAATGCAGATCCTGAACATGCCTATCCAGGATGCGTTAACTTATCCTTTGCTTATGTTGAAGGTATCTGAGACTTTTCTGTCTTTTCCTTATCTGTCACATTTTCACGTCGCACGGTTTTTATTCACTTTTTGAGCTGTTTGGAATTAGTAGTATGCCATTTGAATATGTGCCCTTTGAGGTGAGTCTCTGCTGATGGCACTGAAGAGTATAGCGTTGTCATCCGGCAGTGCATGCACTTCTGCTTCACTGGAACCATCGTACGTACTGCGTGCAATTGGAACTGGAGAAGACTTGGCACATTCGTCTATTCGATTTGGAATTGGTCGCTTTACTACAGAGGAAGAGGTTTGAATAGATCTTCTTTGAATTTTTCTTTTTTTTTGTTATGGTAATTGTATAATCGTGCTCCATTGCAACTTATGAAACCTTTGAATCCTTTTGACTAAAATCATAGGCTGAATGGAATCATTATTATAATGATCGTGTTATCTACTATCACTTAAGGAGTTTATAGAAGTACATAGAATTTTCAGTTGATCCCACTTGATCAATGATGCAGTTGTGTGAATAGTAGTCCAGTATATTCCAGATACAGCACACGATCGATCTTTGCGTGAAAGAAGTGAAACGACTACGAGAACTCAGCCCTCTTTGGGAAATGGTTCAAGAGGGCATTGATCTAAAGAGTATACAATGGACGCAGCATTAATTGTGAAATTAGTTTTGCGTCTATAAGACTTTTTTTGTAGTTCAGCTGTTATCACTCGCTGTTACTTACTAGAAGTATAGTCCAAATTATTGTCCTTGTTGTATCTAGCTTTCAGATCATCTCTTTTAACATATATGACAGAATTTCCTTGCTTTCTCCTAGGTCATAGTCAAGCAAAACAACATTAAATAGAAATTGACAGACTTCGACTCTGGATAGGGGTTTGGAATACTTTCGTCTTTTTTAAGCTATTTTTGTCCTAGGGTGACATTCGAAGTAGAACCTTGTTTGTGTACATATGAATTTGACGTTTTCATGATAGTTTCGCAGTATAATAAAATTCGATGTGAAAGATCAACTCTTTCA